TTTCAGTACCAAATTAAAATATAAGGAATGACAAATTAATAATCACAGGGCACTTTATTTAATTAATGACACTCAACTTATTAAGGTAAGGATGTTGAAGGACAAGAAAATTCATTCAAGGGAATTCTTCCTGCAAGCTATGAAACTAATAGCAGAATTTTCTTTCTAAAATCAATTAGATTAGTGTTGGAAATAGTACAGAAACCTAAGCTGTGTGCTTTCTAGATAGTAAACTCATGACATATTTTCTGTAAACACTCGATTTGTAGAAATTTTGAAATGATATTAATCTTATTTACTATCTAAGATATTTGAGAATTGGTGTTTTGATAGAAATTAAAATACAAGTTCAATTTGTGAAGCAAGCTCCATTATGACTTATCTTTGCAGGTAGTATGTTTTAAATGAAATAAGTAATAAAAAAAGAGTATTTCTGTCAAATAGTAATAGTGATGAAGAACCTTTATAAATGAACCTCATCACATCAAAAGTTAGAATTCAGGGCCCGGCGCTTGTAATGCTAGCTACTCAGAAGGATGAGATCTAAAGATCATGGTTCAAAGCCAACCCAGACAGAGGAGTCCATGTGACTCTTATCTCCAATTAACCACCAGCCAACAAACAAAAAGTTGAGCTGTGGCTCAAAATAGTAGAGTGCTAACCTTGAGCAAATGAGCTCAGGGATAGTGGCCACGCCCTGAGTTCAAAGCTATGACAAAAAAGCAGAAAATAAAACACAACAAAAAAGCAACCAAACAAAAAAACCAACAAACTCAGAATTCAGACCTTTGGTTTTTCCCCTAAAAAGGATTCTTTTGTTCTGATAAATTATGGAATTGTCCACTAGGCTTTTACCTGCTTGGTTGAATGAAGCTCTGTTTTATTTTTTTGCTGGTTTTTATGCCAGTACTGGGCTTGAACTCACAGCCTCACTTTTTTGCCCAAGGCTGGAACTATACCAATTGAGTCACTAATACACTTCTGGCTTTTTGTCTGGTTCACAGAGATTAGAGTCTCCAGGAACCTCAAGCCTGGGCTGACTTTGATTCTCAATTCTCAGATCTTACTTAGCCTCTTGGGTAGCTAGGATTACAGGCAGGAGCCACCAGAAACCAGTATGATCCATTTGTTTAAAAACTCAAACAGTTAGTGAGCAGGGCTTGTGAAACCAGGAGCAAAAGTTAGAGTTGACTATGGGATTTTGTGCAAACTTTTAAAAATTAATAAGCACTCTAAACAGCTGGAATCCCAGTCATTTATCTCATATCTTCCATTGTTGCCATTGGTATGAACCATAATAGAAAGACCACTGAAAATGGCACCGCACTCATTTTCTGTGGTATTCAGATAGTAACTCCATGTAAAAAGCCAGACACAAAAGATTTAAGTTATAAAATTCCACTGGACTCCCCTAGCTTCCCGATGTCTCTGATTTTTGTTTTGTTTTTAGCTTGTTCAGGGGTCATTCGGAAGTAAGTGTGAATAGCCCTGCCTTTTATCCCTTCCCAGTCATGAGGAAACCAGACATACATTATAAACTATACATGGATTCCTGGGCATCTTGCTACATTTTTCTCTTTAAGACTCTGACAAAATATTTGATGTAGTGCTTAAAGTTCATATGTTAAACTACCATGTCTTACTATTTCATATATAAAAGCAAACAGTGCTCTTCAGGGCCAATAGAACATGATTTATCTTTCTGTATTCCACAATAAATTATTTAATTCCTAAATTCTTTGAGTCCAGAGTTAAGTTTCAAAATTATGATTGAGATCTTGTTTATAATTTATCCATACTTGTCAAAGCCTTTTCCTCTCTAACAATTAACTGTTATAATATTTAACAGAAGATGGAAGATTAAATTTGGGTAGCACAATTAAATATGGCACAAGCATGTACTGCAAATCTTGATATAGGGATAAGACATTTTCTTATTTCTTCATTTGATCATGATGTGCCTATATTCTGCCAAACAATAATCCTAATGAAAACCAGAGTGCTTTTTAAGTACAAGACTCTGCCTATGGTATTTTCATTACTTCCAATAGCCATCTTAGTGACTATTATAAGTCCATCATACAGAAGAATACGTCAAGTCTTAGAGCACTGTAGCGATTGTGTACAGCTGGTAAGGATGGCTTTGAAGTCTGATCTGTACAGTATAGAGTGGTGAGGAATATGCTAATGATAGTACACTTTTATGCAGAATAATAAGTGCTGAAATGTTTCTTAGCAAAATTGCATTGCTTGAATTGCCTTTTAGGCACTAGAATTAAGATTTCCAGAAGGAAAATATCTCCCTCACCTAAAATGTACAGAAATAAGAAAAAATCTACAGCTCAAAAAGAAAAGAAGAACATAGGAGAATCAATGTATAATAAATATCATGCATTATGCTTTTCTACATGTGTCCTGCACAGTATAAATAAAACATTCCTTGGGATGTGCACTGCTTAGAAAATTTATTCGATATTGTAGGCTCCCACTACCAGTGGCTTTAACCTTAGGGTGATATAGTTGCTATTTATCTTTTAAGAAAAAAATGCAAGTATCTGTTTATTCCCTGATGCCAACCTCACTCATAGTAAATTATTTATGTACCCATTTTAATATGTATTTTGCATCTGACAGGACAACTCTCCTTAGGACCCTTTTACTGACCCACTTGACTTGATGATGGGGTAAACAATGTCACCTTCCTAGTGCACAATGAATTACAAAGAACCGGTAAAGTATACCATCCATCATGCTGGCACTAAGTAGACTTTTCAAGTAGATCTCAGATATTACAAATGCTGTTTAGACTGTTACCAGAAAGCACAAATTGGAAGCTTATACAAAATGGCCATATGATGAATGGACATGACAGCTCTGCAAAGGGAAGGTGCACGCCTCTTCTGCAAATAACCTTGTCAGAAGCAAAAGTTCCGGGGAGCTTTGCTGGCAGTCAAGACAGAATAACTTAAGAACCTATTAATGGCTCTGCTGTATAGAAATTCATGCAAACAGAATGTACTCAAAATCAAATGGGAAGGATGCCCACATTAGTAGCAACAGCCATTCAAGCCTCATTCAAATTAGGGAAATATCTGAAGCAATACACAAAATCACCAACACTCTCTTAATTATTAAACATGTAGCCTTCGGTAACCAAGTTCCACATCATATTTGCAAGACACGAACAAATATTATTCTTGCCTATACATGGTTTTAACAATCAGCATCAATGTCAAATGCGTTCTTCATGTAAATATGTAAATTAGTATGTACTTACTATAAGAGATTCATTAATGTAATTATGGAAATAGTTATTGTCCTCATTAATTTCTCAAATTATAACATTTAAATACAAGTTATTTGTCTTATTCATAGTTGCTTTTTACTTCCTTTAACATTTCCTTTGGTTTAAGAACCAAGAAAAAGAGCTGGCTGTACTCTCTCATACTGTTTTAACTAAGGGCATTGAACTTGCTAGGTAATTGTTCTACTAATAAGCCACATTTGCAGTCTCTTTCTTAGAAGGGACTGGATATTTTGAGATAGAGTTTTGAATTTTGCCAAGGCCCACACCTAGACCATAGTCTCGTTTTCTACTCTCTGCTGGTGTTAAAATTATGAGCCCAGTTTCTTGAGATGGAATCTCACAATATTGTTGCCCACTATTTTTGGAACCACTATCCTCCTGAGCTCAGCACCCACACTGCTAGGATGACTGGTGCATGCCCCCATACCCAGCTATTGGATGAGAGTCTTCCCAACACTGTGCCTTGATTGTCCTCAAATTCTGATCCCATTTTCAGTTCCTAATCAGGTAGGATTTCAGACAGAACCACTGTGCCTGATGTGTTTATATTATTGCCTATCAGAAATAGTACATGTTAATCAAATCAAATTACATGAGTACTGACCTGGAAATACTGCAGATATTTAACATTAAATTCTAATTGCAAAACATCTCAGGAACGTGCTAGTTATATACAACTCTGTATAATTCAGAGTGGGATATAACATGGAATACAACAATGCTGAAAGTTCATGTCCCAACAATTCAGTCTTTTATAAGTTAATTTGTCACTAAACTGGAACTATTACTATACCCACTGAAATGAAAACAATAGGGGTTCAGACCTCTAATCCTAGCTACTAAAAAGGCTTAGATCACCTCATTTGAGGCGATCCTGAGCAGAAAAGTCTGTGAGATTTTTATCTCCAGTTAATCAGAAAAAAAAACAATTAGAAAACCAAAAACCAGATGGGAGGTGTGGCTCATGTGGTAGAATGCCATCCTTGAGTGAAAAGGGTAAGTAGTGATATCGCAGGGCCTTGAGTTCAAGTCTCAATAATGACAGGGAAGGGGAATGAAGGGAAGGGAAGCTAATTAACTGTTAGATTGCTAGCTAACAGTAAATAAACTACAATGACAAGATTTAAAGCTACTCAGGGAAGCTTTAAAGCCCTGCATTTAACCAGTACACCAAAAAAAAAAATCTGCACCAAACCCAGGCAACAAAAACAATGTTGAGATAAAATGACAGCACACTCCTTGTCCTGTGTTTTTCATAAAGAAAGAGGAAGCATTGTGCTTCAAATCTTAAATGTGTGAATAATCACATCAATTTCCACTTCATTTCTTATGTGCATACACAAATTCCAAACACAAAATCATTTCTGTTTCTAGTCTCTCCAAATTAACATATTCAAATTGGTCTTTGAAATCATAAATGAAACCTACTCACAAGATATGGACTAAGGACACTGCAATCACATATTCAACACCTTTGAATTGAATTGTTCTAACATGTTTTCACTTTCAAGCTATGATAAGGCAAGGCCTGGGAAATGCAAATCTCCCTTACTTTCCCTGGCACCTCTACACCTGGGAACATTTAGTGGTTACTTTGGGGCATTGTATCTTGACAGTGAGCTCAATTTAGATGAAAGCTGTTGTTTTCTAATTTCATTTCACTGTAAATGACAGAGACAAATGATCATATCACCTGGAGAGTTCCTTTGGCAGAATAGGCAGCGTAGGAGTAGAGCATGTTTTGGCTGTTGTCTTTTCTGTCTTCTTGGTTGCAAGGCTGGCCAGAAGGAAGGAAGCACTGACCACTGGGGATCAGGGTCACAGTGCTGGGGGAAGCGCCAGGCAGACTCAGCAGCACAGAGTAATTGACAAACTGCACATCTTCTAGACCCAACGAAGTCCAGTGAGTCTTAATTCTCTTTGAAATGTCTGTGTCATCCTCACTTGGATAAAGTTGTACCAAGTTCCTGAAAGGCATTTTAAAAGCCAGATTAAAATAAGACAACAACACAAAGGAACCAAACCTTCATTCTTTGGAGGTGTACCTGCTTGCAATGTAAACAGTTGTCCATAGATGCAATTGTATGGTGAGAGATGGGTAGGAAAAAATTATACCACAAGTTCACACTGTATGAATAGGGATTTCTGTAAATTTAAGCAAGATGATGAAGGATTTAGTGATTGATTATTTATTGTTATTATTATTATGTGTGAGCGTGAGAGTGCAAGGAAAAGAGAGAGAGAAAGAGAGAAAGAGAATTGGTTTGAACTCAGGACCTTTCACTCTTCTTTACTTTTTTCACACAAAGCTAGTGATCTACCACTTGAGCTATACCTTCACTTCTTTGTTCTGGTTAATTATAGTCAAGAGTCTCACAGACTTTTCTGCCCAGCCTGGCTTTGAGCCACAATCCTCAGGTATCATCAGCCTCCTTAGTAGTGGGATTACTGGTGTGAGCCACCAGCACCTGAGTAAATTATTTCTCAAGTGAAGAGCTAATAAAGTACCATGAGTCTGCAGAGAAGAGACCTCTCTAACAGAATTGCTGTGGGAAGAGAAGAAGTAGCCACCCCAGGGATCAAGGAGTGTCATGGGGCCAAGTGAACCTGTGACACAGCAGGGCATCATCTTCATAAGCAAATTTCACCAACTCACAAAGTCGGGGCCACATTTTCTCTTAAGGGTGGAATTTAGGAGGAAAGTAAAAGTCAGACAACTGGAATATGTAAGTGTATTTAAAAAAAAGAAAGAGGGAATAAACTAAGGCAAAACCAGCCCAACCAATACATGAACTGAGGTCCTCCTGCAAAAGGGAAAAATGGTCAATATAAACCATGCAAAAAATATTCAATATCCTTGGCCATACAAGAAATGTAGATCAAAATACATGAAAATTTTATCTCACTCTAGTCAGAATGACCATCACCAAGGAAAGAACAATAATAAATACTGATAGGGATGCAGGAAGTAAAGAAAATTCTACATACGATTTATGCAGACTGAGAATGTAGATTATTGAGGCCACTATAGAAATCAGTAGAAAGTTTCCACAAAAATTTGAAATACAGACCAACTACAGATCCTGCTATGCCTCTATAGGCATATATCTCATGAACAGTAAGTCAAAATATGTGCACATTCATGTTTATTCAGCACTATTCACAATAGCTGAGCTATGGAATCTACCTTAGTTGCCCATCAATGGATCAAAGAATAGTATTCATCCATGAAGAAGAATGAAAAATATCATTTGCAGAAGAGGGGATGGAACAAGAGATCATCATGTTGTGTGAAAGGCAGACTCAGAAAGAGGAGCACTTTATCTTTTCTCCCCAATGCAGAATCTACATGGCCCCAAGAGAGGATAGGGATGTAAATGAGGACTATTTGGAGAAGGACTAACATTAGTGGCGAGGGCAGATAGGGGGGAGGATGAGGGTGAACATAGCCAAAGCACATTACGTGCATATATGAAATTATCATGGTGAAGCCCATTAAAAATATTTTGTATTAAATGTTTGAGATTCTTTCAGCTTTCAATAGCTTTTATCAGGTATTCTGAAGGATAAATAACTTCTAAAATATGTCCAATTTTTCCTTATTGTAGACAATACTCCACTGAAACTTTTATTCATATTTTTTAATTGAATAGATAAAATAGAACTCGTTTTTAGGTAATATGTAAGAGCTTCTGTTCTATAAGGCATGCAATGGCACAACCAGAGGGAAAAGATCCAAAATATTAAAAATAATTCTTGCTCACTAACCCAGTAAAATTCTTAATGGGAATTAAAAAGCTTTTCATTTTCAATATGTGGTTTTACAATAAATAAAATTGTAATGTTAATACACATAATTTCTAATATGTGATCTTTTTCAAATCATGAAATTTTGCTCATTTACTTCTAAGAGTTTTATATCTGGAGAAAGAAGAGGTAGAGCAAGTATATCAGAAGGGATGTGGAGGACAGGAATACTCAAACGTGGGTATCTACTTTTACATTTGTACATGTATAGAGGTATACATGTACATCTATACAAGTATATATGCAATGACAAGCACATAGATTTGGGTCTGTCTGGGCTCCAGAACCTACCTATCTCAGGAGCCTCTTGGTCCATATTTGCAATGAAGTGTTTTTTTCCATTAATGCATGTTATCACATGTTAATACCAACAGTGATAAGTTGCTGCAATTATTCCTCTAGGATTTCATAATAATCATTTATTTTCTCTTCTTTATTAGCATTGAGATGAACTATCATGAGGTTACATTATCAAGACTATGACCTGTATTGTTATGAGATGAAAGCTCAGTTTGGGAGCATATATGTCATCCTTATATAAAGTACCATTGAATCTTTATCAGATAGTTGTGATCTGAATATATGAATACTCCAAAATTTGTATGTTGAAATCCTAAACACCAAATGGATAATGCTCAAGAAAAGAAAATCATCAGACTATTAGAAGATCATCAGGCAAATTACATTAACAGTCTTAAAGAAAAGGTCAGAAGGAGAACTTTTATTCTTTCATAACATAAGTGCAAAATATAAATTTATAACATAAATATTATAGTGGCTGAGGGCTCTAATCTCAATGTTTGGAAGGCTGAAGCAGCACTATCATGAGTTTGTGGCCAGTTTGGTTACAGAGCAAGACACTCTCTCACAAAATAAAAATCAGAACCACAAAAATCAAATGAGACAAATATATAATGAACCCCTTGTAAGCATGTAGCTATTTTGCTTAGAATGTGAGCAATAAATTTCTGTTATTTCTAAGTTGCCCTATATAAGGATTTCTATCATATCCTGAACAGATGATGGTAGCTATCAAGAATCTGGTGAGTATTACTAGAAAAATATGACTTAAACTATTTTTCTCTATTTCTACTATAAAGGAACAATATTCAGTTATTCTACGGAACATTCTACTAAACTCTTATAAGTATAGCCTTTTTCTTTGCTCTATTTTCTGTGTAAAATATTTGTTATAACCAGGTGTCAATGGCTTACACCTGTAATCCCAGCTACACAGGAGTCTGAGTTCTGAGACATAGTTCTAAGCCAATCTGGGTAGAAAACTCTTTGAGATGCTTACCTTTAACTGCCAAAAAGCAAGAAGTGGAGCTGTGACTCAAGTGGTAGAGTATTAGCCTTGAGCACAAAAGCTCAGAGACAGCACCCAGGCCCTCAGAGTTCAAGCCCCAGGACTGGAAAATATAATTGATTGCTAGCAAATAATGAAAGTTCTGTTACTTTCTCTCTCACTATTTATAAATTTTATTTTTATAATTTCTGATTATATGCATACATAATATATTATAATTAAGCTTAGACCCCCAAAAGTTGTTTACTGAAATATTTAATCAGATGTGCTGGTGACTATCACTCTATTGTGCTATACATGTCAGAATGAAAGTATTCCTCTTTTCTGGTGTTAAGACATGCTTTACCATTGTTATGGATCATAAAAGAAAGCCTGAGGCATTTAAAAACAATCCTCTTTTCTTTTTTTATTGTAAATCACATTAGTAGATTTCTTTTTTCTTTTTTCTTTTCCTTTTTTTGGTCAGTTGTGCGGCTTGAACTTTGGGCCTATAGCTTTTCCTCAGCTCTTCAGCTCAAGGCTAGCATTCTGCATTTTGAGCCACAGCACTTTTTGTTTTCTGGATGGTTTATTGGAGATAAGAGTTTCACAGACTTTCCTGTCCAGGCTGGCTTTGAACCTCTACACTCAGATCTCAGGCTCCTGAGTAGCTACGATTAAGTGCTTGAGTCACCAGCAGCTGGCACATTAGTAGATTTCTAGTGCTAATTAAACCTTTCATTTCTAAAATAAAAGCTCCATAGAATAGAATGTGTACTAACTGAAAATACTTTGTGATTTAGTTTGTCATTATTTTGTGTATGGTTTTTACATCTAATTTTAAAAGTAGTTGCTATGTAATAGTAAATACTTTCAGAACCATTCCTCCTTTTAGATTTAAATGAGTCAACCCTCCTAACGTGAAGTAGAGGTTTTTCCTTTTGACCTCCAGTCTGAGAGAAACTGTGAGAAGATTTGAGAGAGAAGTTAGCATTTTTCTAGAAATTGTTCCATACTGAAAATCCTCGGGCTAGAATTTAGGAAAAGCTTGTTTAGTTTGCTTGCTCACAGATACCATGATGTCTCCAATCTCCTGAATAGCTGGGATTAAAAGTGAGAGGTACCGGACCACACACAATTTGTATTCTCATCCTGAATTAGAGTGCTTTTGTTCATTGTTCTTGGTGCAGGCCACAAATTCTCAAATTTTCAGATTTCTGGTTTCATCATTTGCCTAATTATTCCTCATTGTATTTTGTTTCTTCTATTAATTCCTCTTCCTTTTTTTGAGTTCAAATTAGTCTATTGGTATAAAAAAATCTGTATATATTGAGAATTATATTATCTATTTCAAAATATTTTCACCAAACCGAAATAAACTACCTTCTAATAAGATGTGGTTTCTTTTCAAGTATTGATTGCTGGATTCACAACTTCCAGGAGACATTCTGGAAAAGCAATTAGAAGTTGTGACCTCACCTGCTCCCTCACAGATGTGTAATGGTAATTTTTGCTCAAAATTGATCAATGTGCTATTATTTGTCACATAATCTCAGCTACCAGAGATCACATTACTTAAATCTCCTGTACTGTGATTATGATTGGATTCAAGCATATGAGAACATCTTTACAGCAAGCTAACATAACCAATAGATCGATATAAAGCATGCATCTTTCTGCTAGAGGTATGGAGAAGTACCAGCCATAAGCAAGAACACTGACCAAGAATGAGGTTTTAAATTGAAGCTCCCTGAAAGAATGACAAATAAATTATTGACCATATCAATCATATTACTTATTTTTTATTAATTAATGAGCAAGCAAGACATGTATCCTCATAGATGATGACAAATATTTTGAATACACTTGATT